CCTGTGAGTGAAACGTTAAAGGAAACAATACAAAATCAAGACCAAAAATATATAGACATGAAGAATCAGCAAGAAACTTCAGAGTAAGTTTAGTAACTTATAAAGTAAAATGTTAATATACATATATGACATATTTTCATTTAGTTATTTATATAAACTGTTCAGTTTGAAGGTAGATTTATATCACGAACTGATTTCGACTAGATAACCATTGAAAACATGAGAGCATTGGACAAATGTTTCGTTTTAATAATGGACTTCTCAACAGTGCGCAATTACGACTCCACCAGGAATTGAGGATCGAACCTTCAAGCCTATTAGGGAGCGATTAAACTTTTGACTAACTAAGTCCCCATCTAATAGCCCATATATCTAATTCCAGTCAATTAGGAATACTGTCCAACGATCATCCTGTACTATCATTAATATCTCCCACTCTTTATGTAGTTGAACTATACAGGTTACTTTTTCTCAACAGAACTTAAAGAATTCTCACTAATGTTAATCACTTATGACCATATAATTATAGATGTGATAAATTAACCGAAGTTAAAAAACGTGTCCTAATGGATTCCGTCAAAATAATCCAAGCATAACTTGGTCATCGTGAAGAATGCTTTTTCTAGTCTCCATCAGTGTTATGGTTGTAAACGCACACTATTGAGAAGTCACAATGAAATTAATTGACTAACACTCCCTGATTTCTAATGGTTGTCTAACTGAATTAATTTTGTGATATACATAATCTTTTTAAAATATTTCTAAAGATCTTATACTTTGAAAAAAAATTTAAACAGAGTAAATCTATCATTGTGTTTTGTATTATGAATTTGTTTACCTGTTTCATATAACTTTGTTCAGTTTGACTTTTAAATTACTATATTCAGTTTATAGATAAATATGTCAAGATTCAATCAGGTATGTTTATGTAATAGTCTCCTATTGGTTATACAGACAGTGTTGTCTTTTCTGGTGTATAAATTATACACTTATCTGATGATCTGTCATTAATGATTGGTGTTGTATGTCTGAATATATTTTGAATTCTGTGTTGTGATTACACTTTTAAATTTACATATAGTATGTCATTATCTTGAATTGACTGAGTTTAAAAATACTGTAACTGTTGAATACCAGTTCCGTATCTTAGAGATATCATGTTTGCAACGATACCTAAAGAAGTTACTTGTTAGTATTACACACGTTTCCTATGTTCTTGCTCAATCAACTATGAGAATGAGGAGACTGAAAAATGACGAAGAAGCTGTAATTGGCAGAATCAAATATTTAGGTGCAAATATCTTAGGTATATATACATGTTTCCTTCTGAATCAAACAAAGAAATTTAGGCGCGTTGCGATCATTGAAGTCCTTGAGTCCTATCTAGAGTCCTGTAGGCACAGCAGGTACTGTAGAAAATCGATCAAAAAGGTTAAGAATTTTACTTACATGATTCATAAACTACTGTGTCATGACGTCTTTAGGTTATTCTTTTATATAATGTTTTACGCTAATTTCGTGACATGTAAGAGAAATCATTCAGAAACGTAGTTATGACCAAATAAAGGGTTTAAATATAATCTGGCTTTATCATGAACAGATTAGTTTATGTAATTAAAATAATCTCTCTCAAGACAAAGAAAACTTATAATACATTTTGGAAAAAGAAACTCATAAACTCCATAAAACTAACACAACATACACTGAAGTTTCACTATATTTCGAGTCACAGATTCTTGGTTTTGACGACTTGCGTACTGTCTGCATCTAATAAGTGACATAATCTCAAGGCCACTCTTAGCATGATTCGAGCTTTTTTGTTCAATATAGTTTCACCGAAAAAAACTACTATACTTTTGACCCTGGTCATGATCCGTCAAATAATTTATAGATGAGTCGGTTACCCACCAAAGGTAATGGAAGATGGTCATACAATATCGTGTATTGGTTGAAGTTAGACATTAACACCATTGGATGCCAGTTCAATGATCTAAAGCTTAAGCGTCCTCATGAGACCAAATATCCATGGTTCCAATTCCATATGCAAGATTGTGGGTGTGAACTGCTAAAGATTTCAATACTAAGACGAAATGACCATTTAATGCTTCCAGTTTTTTTTAATGATAGTCTAATATTGATTGGTCCCTAATCTCAATTAAAACTCAGTAATCTCTACGACCTTGTACTGATGATTTAAGGATGATTAAAAAATGTGACAAAACTGTACTTTACCTTTTTTGAGAATTCAACTATATTTTGCTTTAATTTTTCTTTATTGTTCTATTCATTCTTCAGTGTAATACGTTATTTCATTTTATGCAAAGCTTGTAAAACACTAACATTTATTTTTGTCCCTAATCTATTCTACAGAACATAAGCTTTCATTCGGTGTATGATTCATTGCCATACCCTTTTCTGCTCCGAATCTATTGTAATTTAAATATGATATTTTGCATCCTATTTTCCATAAGAAAGAAAGATTAGTTCAGCGAAGAGTTCTCTTTTCGGCGAATTCATTTCCAAAGCTGTACAATCGCAAATATATATACTTATTTTTACAGGGTGATAATGATACTGATAATAAACTTCTGTTATACATGGTGACAGTGATGTTAAATAAACAAAGGTATTAGAAAAAATTTTTAAAACAAGGAAAGTTTGATAGTTAATGGCTTAGATATTCATCGGGTAAGGGTAGCTCAGCATGATAAAATAACATAAAATGTTGAAACAGATGAAATGTAATCGGAATGATCGTGGAAATAAAAACAAACCGGTTGGGGGTAGAAGATTTGAAGGGAAGATGGAAGGTGAAGCAGGTGGCTGTAAAAGAACAAGAGTATGAAGAAAGAGAAAAAAATTTTAATACATTAAGACCATGGTAAAAGAAGTTGTACCAGTCTCTTTTGTACACATAATTCTGGTTTTTCAAAATGTATGGCTATTGCCTCGGCAATGCAAAGAAGATGCAGTCTAATTGTCTTAGGAAGGCTTCTACTTACCTTGTAGATGACTTTGAACGCAGAGTCTGTCTTGATTGAGTGACCCGTGTTCACAAGGTGTTCGATTATAGAACTTCTTATTGAGCCGTTGCCTCCTCATCTTAGCCACGCCTATTTTCTACTCTAATTCCCAGCTTTGGACATAATTGTATTTTTCCTAATTATTGTATGTGGTGGTCTGTTTAGTCACCTATTTATTCATGTACCTTTTTACACTAATCTGAAATCAGGAATAGATCGATTAGTGTTCCACTTGTCTTGTCTTCTCTCATTCGCATGCTTTTCAGCCAATCAGGTGATAGAATAGTTTTCTTCTCTCTACGCCATTTCGAACTCACGCGTACTAGCCTCAAGGTTAGGTCGGTCAGTCTATCGCGCCAAGGTCTTAATCTAGATCAGATAAATGTCCTCAGCACCAAAAGTGGGTAGACAGACCAAAGGACATGACAGTTTAGATATCGAAAAATGGTACAATATATAACGAAAAATTAAGAAGAGAAATGAGAAACATTTCATGATATTTTGATACGATAGCAGAATAATAAATAAGAACTTTTTTGTTTAAATTTGATCGAATTAAAGTGGAAGAATGTATTTGTAAAATCTCAGTGAATGAATATGAAGTAAATCCAACGTTTTGCCTGATAATCTGATCCGAACTTTTTCAAGGAAATGTCTCACATTAACTCCGTGCCCAAATACTGTGGAACTATTCGATCAAATTAAGACGAAAGTTCTTATTTATTATTTAGTGATATTATTTAATTAAGAAATCAAAATAAATTTTGTTCAATTACAGTTAGTATTTGTTTACTATTTATATGCGATATAAATGGAAGTTACACCAAGATTATCACCGGTTATTAATCCGAAATGCGCTTGGTTTGTTTTAGAGTCAATAGAATAAACAATCATAATAAGAACTTTATCCAAATGTTATAAACTAACAGAATAAAATTATTTATCATCCTACGGCTGTGCCATAAATTGGTTGCTTCTTTATTTCATCATTTAGTCCAAACGTTAGTGAGTAATATAATGTATAACAGTCTATTGGACAACATGTGAATGTAAATAGGTTATCAAATTAGGTGTTACTGCATATATATATATATATATATATATATATATATATATATATATATAATATATATTATAAAAGTATTTATTTTAAACAATTTCCATTTTGACATACATCAAGATTAAACGTAATTTGTATCAATCAATATAGTTCGGGATCGTCGATGCGCACTATTGAGGAGTCCCATACTAGGACGAAACGACCGTCCAGCGCTTCAAGGTTTTCCATGGTGGGCTAGCTTCAACTGACTCATGATTTCAATCAGTGAAATTTCTAAAATCTCCACAAAACCCCTTCTGACAATATTATTTATATCTACTAGTGACGCTGTAATTACTTCTATTACTGTGGAATATGTCTTGATAGAATTATCACACTATGCTAATGTGATATGGAAACTTGAACCGATACACAAATATTCCAAGTTCTACAATGTATACAGTAGACTTACTGACTGACTGGCTGATTGATATAATTTATATTCCTTAAAAGATGTATATGTGTATGTATTCGTAAATATTTGATAATATAACACTATACTTTCGGAAATAGTTCAACTTTGAATCTGTGTTATTGAACACCTCTTTGAAATGAAGTTATTGAAAATTGTTCTTAATTTCATCATAAATATCTTAATACATCATCATTATATACAAAATTCTTGAATCGTTATATTTCATGTTTGTTTATTTTGTTCTATTGTTGTTTAAGAACTTACGATGAATCATAAATGATCTCGTTTCAACTAACTTTTCAATCCATTTACCATTTTTTAACGATTCATTATGTTAATATTTTCATTAGAAAATGTCATTTGTTATTATTTATTAGATCACATGTGATTTTATCATTTCATATCTATGAAGATAATTTTCTTAATTAACTCTAATAGTAATTTCAGTTACAATAAATTGGAGATAATAAAATATTCATAATCAATTTGTAAATATCAATTTAACGTTGAATATGATTGAATGAAATGATAACAAAGACATTGTATTATGTCATTTAAGCGTTTTCACATGAGACCGAAGTTCTTTTGTATGAGTCCAACGTGTGGGACCGTGGATACTCACTGCTGAGGAGTCTCATACTGGGACGAAACAGATGTCCAATGCTTCCAGGTTTCCAATGGTTGTCTAACATTTATCCGTTTATGATATCAACTTAAAATCAATAATTTTCACAACCGTAAACTGATAATTTAGAACTGTAAGTTGTTTTTTTTCGAGATTTGTAATATCTGAAAATAGTTTTCCTTAAATAATAAATGAAAGTTGATTAGAGAAAGATCATTCAAAATCAAAGATACAGTGAGCAAACTGTTTCACATTATTACTTTGAATTGGATAGTATTTTTCACATACGATTCTATATACAATCAAACTTTCCAATTACATTACATCATCCTAAGATTATAACATTTTTACATTGTTTTATTCCAAATCTAATCAATCACATTACCAACTTGAATTGATTTATGGTTAATTATGTATATTATTTATTGTACTAAATATTGCTTTACACATATGAACAAATGTGTTCACACAATAATCAATTCCTATTTTACATTATGTTAGGTCATTAGCTGATACTACTGGAAATACAAATAACGACGATAGTGAAGAGACCGAATATACAACTGGTTAGTTTATGAATACTTGTTTGGTTTTGTATGTCTTTTATTCATTTAATGTAAGTCGTTTATTTATTCTCTAATTCTTAGCGCTTTCCATGCTTATATAAAAGTACTAAACTGTCGACGGGTGTTTTTTTGGCTTTTCGTACACTGGCTGGTGAATATTTTATTTCGAATTCGCTGCTATCATAGTTATTGTTTTGTTGTACTTAACGGATTAGATCAATATTCAATGGTTGTAGTCAATGATAGGGAAACCATAGTCAATCTAGGTTTTGTGCTAATTAGCATTTACCAACGAGAGATGTTTGCAACATTGAGGGAACTGATGGATCCTCCAGCAATTAGATATATGCTACTCAGTTTCTTAGTCATAGATGTCACGAATGAAGCATTTGGTTTGTCGAATAACATCACTCTGTCAAAATGATACACTTGTGGTGTAGATACCATCATTTCTTATTACTTACAGAAATGATGGGTACAAAAAAATATTTTTATTGAAAGTAATCAATACATAATCAGATTGAAAGTAAATGGTTAACTGGATATGATCTTTTTTTAAAAAGAGTTTCACATAATAATTTACAATATCATGTGAAATGAAACAGTTCACAATTACAACAAATAGTTTCAATAACTGATAACATGAATAATATAAAATTAGTTCTCATTGCACAAGCTAGTGGATATTTGAACTCAATAGCTCAATAGATCACTCATTGGATATTTGAAGCAAGATGTACTGGATTCGAGAATTGAAGTGAAAATCATTACATCGATGCAGTCACATCTAGTTGATAAGCAGTCCTGAATGGGAAGAAACAGACGTCCTGGATTCAACCGCAAGCTTATATCCATCTTGACTTCACTAATAAGAATGATTTATGATATAGGATTGAATTTTCTTTTAGAATATTAATCATTTAATTTAACTACACTGTACATTATCCCAAGTTTGAAATGGTCACTAGTTTGAATATAAAATATTCAGATAGAAGTTTCAAGTTTTATTATATCCCAGAGAAAGTTATTCTCAGTAGTTAAAAAATGTCTTTTTTATACTTCAGTTACCTCCCTTTCATAAACTTAGGCAAAACAAGAACGTGAATTTCAGTAAAGTTTGACTGTGTCTAACGGTGAAATTCAGGACGTCCGTTTATTCCTATTTAGGGATGTGTGACTAAATGAAAATATCAAGGCAATCCGCCTACGATGCATGTTTATCAACAGAGTCTGATCAATTGCACTTGTTAACATTACCAAATGAAAAATACGACCATTACGTAAACAATATTCACCGAATGGTATACTTTGTACAGTACTATAAATTCATTGAATATCTTTAAACTCATGAGCCGACTAAAGTTAGACAACCATTGAAAACCTGGAAGCACTAGAGGGCCGTTTCGTTCCAATATGGGACTCCTCAGCAGTGAGCATTCACAATCCCGCATATGGGAACCAAACCCAAGACATTCGGTCCCTCAAGAACACTAAACCTATAAACCATTGAGCTAGCATCCAACAGTGTACAAGTCCAATTCCAACCAATCCATGACATTGCGCGACCATCCTCCATTGTCTTCGGTGGGTAACTGCCTCATACCCTATACGATCTAGCTCCTCTGGTCACAGGTTCTCACTAGAACTGCGGAAATTTTCTCTCGAAGCTAGTCACCAGTGAGCACATGATAAATTTCAGCATAGGGTTGTTCATGTTGCACTCATACCTGTTACCGGTTCATTTGGACGGTAATCAACTACTGTATCATTTTGTTTAATACAATCGTCAATCTGTACTAGTTGTAAGTTCAGACTTTCTTCTGTTGCCCGTTCGATCGGGTCACTTGATATTGGGATCTGATAATAACATTCTCACTTTATCTGACTAATGATCCTCTTTTCAACCAAAACACGAGTGGCTAAACAAAGACCTCTATCATAACTCTTAATTTCACCGAGAACTGTTATTTACAGTAGTCATTTAGAAAACAAAAATGGCAAACAGAACTAATTTATATTCTTATACTATAATTACGGTCATGTTGAATCAAAAACTTACTGGCTTATTGTACACCTAATTTCTGATTATAACACATCACAGATAAGAAATTACAGTAAATAACTAACTAGTATATTCACTGAATATAATCTGAATCACAAGTTCATGATCAATTGATGATAATTAAAAAAATTCTTGGGAAAAAAATGGCAGCAGTTAATAAATGAATGTTTACAATAAGAGTAATATGAAAAAAAGTATAACTGAATCATTTATTAAGTACGCGGTAAAAATTCACATAATACTTCTCCGTCTTTCCCCACTTATTTGTCTCAAGTTAACAGTATCCTTCTATTATGATCATTATAAATCTCTATAGTATACAGTGATATCATATGATAAATTATCTTGAACACTTTTATAATATCCGTCACAGTAATAAAGTAGTTTGTTGTATTGAGCGATGTCCTACCTAAAATTGATAAACAAACTTCCTGTTCGTGAGTTCAACCATTCATTTGAGTGTGAAGACTGAGAGTGTGAGAAAGAAGTTTTTTATTGGCAAACCGAATCACCGTTTTTCCTCCAGTGGAGTGTCTCATTCCTTAGAATAGAAAGTAATATCTTGGCCAATTGCGTGCACTTAACATCCGACTAATGTCTAACTTGCCCACTGTATCATAGTTATCGTACAATCTAGATGTTCTCTGGTATTTAACTCCTTGTTCTATTTCGCAGATTTATAAATTCCGAATCATATCATTAATGATTTTTAATAAATAGAATGGTTTGAATATTAATAAAAGAAATTACTAGGCGTAATGCCAACTGTTATTATGATCAGCAATCAATGAAACCGTCTTTTCTTTCTGTACATATCTGAATAGGGATTTTCGCATTACTAAATCAAAATGCCATATGGCATAATGAACTGAGAATTTGCTTTACTGCAGATTTTCTGGATCGTTAAAGGTGAATTATAGTATGTAAATTTTATCAAATTGATAAATAATGTGGATGTGTTACTAAGGATGCTTTATAATGACCCAACTTACCCTAAATTGAACTTTACTTCAGTGGTTAGATAGTATCGAGATTCTCGCAACATCTGGATGTTTTGTAAATCAGCAAGAACAAAGGTTCTAGCAGAACAGCATGAGTTCATTTTATTTCGTTTGGTACTCGTCAGCTGCTTAAAACCTGTGATATTTGAAAATCATAATTACAAAATGGGTTTAAATTACTTACATCCTTGTTATACTATACTGAAGTGTCTTCAAAATAACTTCCAACTGAACTCTTTTATGTAAGTAATTTAAACCCGTTTTGTAATTATGATTTTCAAATATCACAGGTTTTAAGCAGCTGACGAGTACCAAACGAAATAAAATGAATTCATGCTATTCTACTAGAAACTGAAAGGTTTTTGAGTAATCTCTTAGAAATATTACATTCTACAGACTGAGATCTTACAACTTCGATTTTTAACCAATTTATGAGTAGTTATGAACTTCACCCTTTGAATAAAAACAAAATTAGAAGGATACATGATAGAAGATTCATTTTAAAGTTTCTTTCCTGAAACAATATAGGCATTCAAAAATTATCTTTTACTTTCAGCAATAATGGTGTCGTGTTCCGGATCCGTTAACCATTAGTCACTAAAGTTACATCAGTTTGTGATGAAAAACTTGAATTTCATTATTCATATTCTTGAACAAAGTTATTATATACTAATACAGTTATTAAGATTTGACAGATATAGAATTATAACTAATATGAACATAATTTTATTCATTTTGAATAAGAAATTGCCGAACCATGTACAATTATTATGATTACTCTGATTATCGTCTTTTTTATTAATATTGGGGATTTATGAACATTATTGAATCTAATATCTTACATTATGAACTGATGTTGATTAGGCGGCCATTGAAATCCAGGTGCCAGGCGGTTGTCTCACTTCAATACGAGATTCTTCGACAGTGTGCATTTATGACCACATGAGAGATCAAATCCATGATTTTCAGGTACTATCACAAGGGCCTAACCTTAAGACGGCTGAGTCGCCAAAAATTTATCCGCACTTCCAACTTGGATAAATTCGTGACATTTTATAGCTATCTTCCAGTGCCTTTTCTGGATAACTACTTGACACTCAACATTGCTGGACTCCACCCACCGAAACTCCAGATATTACCTCTTGAAATTAGTAAGTGGGGTCATGGATCAACACCCTTGAAGTAATCCTCACCAGGAATTAAAATGTTCACAATCAAAAATCAGTCACGTTTTTAGATACTGTAAGCATCTAGTAAATATTTTAGATCGATATCCTTGAAAATATTACCACTTAGTAAGTGACACTCCCCATAACAACTGTTTCACTGCCGACATATCTAGATTTTACTAGCCACATACAACCTAACTTTCAATGAGTAAAATGTACATTGAAAACTTTACAAATTTGGGTGACTGACAGTTTATTTAAAGCAATAATACGTATCATATAAGTCACTGATTGAGTTTAATGCAGAAACTCGGATAGATTTTGTAATAACAAAGAAAGTTTGTTGAAACATTCCCAATATTTATTTGATTTGTAAGTGGCTCTTGTCACAAATTAAAATCAGTGAAACGAAGGTATTACTATAAAACTTTCTTTTTAGTATGGAAGCCCTCAGTAGTGCACAGTTCACGACATTGGATATCTGTCCCTCTCGATCACGAGATAACCATGATCTGAAGTCTCGTAGCTCGCCACTAAGCTAGATGCTTCTGAGTTTGATGCCTGATAGGGTTGTCAGTTCATACTGATCATGAGTCTCATAGAACGATATACCTGTCCAGTGCTCTCTTATTCTAGTTATATTATCACAAATTATATCAGTTCTTGATAAAAACCAATCAAAAATAAAGTTTGCTTAAATGATTCTGAAGAATTGTTTTAGCGTTTCTTAACAATTGTAAATTAGCATCCAAGTAAATAGGTTCTAACTGAAGTAGTTGCTTATCACTTACAGTATTTAGCTTTGAACTTGTCGACCGAAGGTTTCAACCCATTTATTTCAGTTTGATATTCTGGATGGTATCACTAGTCTTTACATGCAAACCGTGTGGATGCAATATGAGTTCATAAACAATACTTGGTTAATCAGTTTACATAAGCTATTATAATTGTAGTTATTTGTTTATATTCTAAGCACGCCTTGATGATGACCACCAACTAGCATGAAAATAAAGTCTAACGCTACCATCCGACTACTACCGATTACCTAATGTTTGTCTCTAACATATTTTAAAATAATGAATTATTACGTCAAGATCACTTAATATAAATTCTCACTTTTGATCAAAACTTAATTCAATATTCTTTTTGTTGGTACCATTCTTATTTAAACAGATAGAATTGTTTATCAATTATCAAATCGTAAGTATATTGAACAAGGATGGACTGCAGTGAATCATGTACAACATAGTGACAATGATAATAATAATGAAGAATTGTTATTAGTTAATGAAGGCAAATCAATGCATATAAACTCAGATGAAGTAAAACATGAGTCGATTGAAATACAACTTGATTTTATACAACATACATATTCGAATGGTGAAGTATTTTTACGAAAATATAACGACAATACAGGAGTCATATTGTATCCTTTTCTTTTGTAGTCTTGAAAGCTAGACAAAAGCAAAACTGAAGAAATATTATTTCGTCTTAACTAGAAACTCTTCAACAGTATAACATTGACAATATCTCCAAAACATTAGTAGCCTTCTTCACTCTGTGATGCATCACCGATTAGTCGTGAGGAAGGATAAAATAATGGTGATAGTAGAATATACAATTGAAATTAAATGATCTTGGGAAATTTTTATTCATTCAGCTAGCCAAAAATCAGTAAGCATGAACGACTGGTTTATAATACTAGGACTAGGATGTACTTTGCATTCAATGTGAAAATCAAGGTGAAAATATTCATATAAATATTCATAAAATATACACCCAACTTCGAAATCAACAGGCCGAATTCCGTAAGAATCGGTCGTACACGGACCGAATCGCGACACCACAGACCATCGTTGAACGATCAGTTTAATGAAACTCGTCATTATACATGGAATTCACCACTCTAAATCAACTTCATTGACTTCCAAAAAGCATTTGATAGCATGGACAGGGTAACACTATGGAGGCTTCTTCGATATTACGGCGTAACTGAGAAGATAGCCCACACCATACGGAATTCTTATGATGGATTAAACTGCAAAATCGTGCATGGAGGACAGCTGATAGACGCATTCCAAGTAAGGACCGGAGTCAGACAAGGCTACCTACTCTCCCTCTGTCTCTTTCTTCTGGTGGTTAACTAGATTATGAAGACCTTCACATCTGAGAAAGAGCACGAAATACAGTGGATAGGTTGGATGCAGTTAGACGATTCGGACTTCGTAAATGACCTAGCCCTTCTATCTCATACACACCAACAAATACAGATATAGACAACTAATGTAGCAGCAGCCTATGCATTGGTAGGCCTCAACATACACAAGAGGAAAAGCAAGATCCTCAAATACAACACGGAGAACACCAAAGCATTCACACTTGATGGAGAGACTCTGGAACAGGTGGAAAAATTCGCGTATCTGAGAAGAATCGTCGATGAACGTGGAGGATCTGATGCAGACGTATAGGTGAGGATTGGCAAAGCAAAGACAGCATTCCTATGGTTGAAGAACATGTGGAACTCAAAACGAATGTCAACCAACATCAAAGTGAGAATCTTCAATACGAACGTCGAGACATTTCTACTGTATGGAGCTGAAACTTAGAGAACTACCACAACCATCATCAAAAAGATACAAGTATTTATAAACAATTGTCTACGTAAGATACTGAATGTCCTTTGGACGAATACTGTCAGTAATAGCCTACTATGGGAGAGAACAAACCAGCTTCCAGTTGAGGAGGAAATTAGGACAAGTCACTGGAAGTGGACAGGACATACATTGAGTAAACCACTAAACTGCATCACGAACCAAGCCCTAACTTGGAATCCTGAAAGGAAATGGGATAGAGGAGGACTAAAGAACACACTGTGTCGGGAATCAGAAGTGTACATTGAAAGGATGAATAGCGACTGGAGAACGCTGGTGGGCGGCCTATGCTCCTCCACGAGGAGTAATAGGCATAATCAAGTAACCCTAATATGATCTGGCAACTTAAATTGATGCACAAACATGTCTCGCTCTACACTGCACATGACTGACTGGGTGAAAAAGCATTTTGTTTTCATGTATCCGCCATAACCTTAGAGGTATTGATATATTTATCATTGCATCCACAGCGTAGTTAAGCTTAATTGAAATATTTATTTATGACTGATATTTACTCAAGTTGATTAGGTACAGTTAACTTGATGAAGTACATCTAACACATCATTAAAGGAAAAATGAATCAACCATGGAGTCAAAGTTAGGGAGTTCGAACTTAACACTAGTGACTTTCGAAATTCAGTGTTTAAACTGACTGAAGTAGCTTTAAGCAAGAAATTTCAACTGTTAGCTATCGAACATGGTACTTTCGTGAATTATTTGTACAAATCGACAAACTTACTTACTTACTTACGCCTGTTACTCCCAATGGAGCATAGGCCGCCGACCAGCATTCTCCAACCCACTCTGTCCTGGGCCTTCTTTTCTAGTTCCATCCGATTCTTGTTCATTTTTCTCATGTCTATCTCCATTTCTTGGCGTAATGTGTCCTTTGGTCTTCCTCTTTTCCTTTGGGATTAAGAATTCCATGTGAGGACTTGTCTTGTGACGCAGTTGGGTGCTTTCCTCAATGTGTGTCCTATCCATTTCCAGCGCTTCTTCCTGATTTCTTCCTCCGCTGGGATCTGGTTTGTTCTCTCCCACAGTACGTTGTTGCTAATAGTGTCCGGTCAACGGATCAGAAGTATTTTACGTAGGCAACTGTTAATAAACACCTATATTTTCTGGATGATGGCTTTCGTAGTTCTCCAGGTTTTCATCCCATACAGTAGAACTGTCTTGACATTTGAATTGAAAATCCTGACCTTGGTGTTGGTTGACAGTTGCTTTGAATTCCAGATGTTCCTCAGTTGTAAATATGCTGCTCTTGCTTTGCCGATCCGCGCCTTCACATCTGCATCAGATCCACCGTGTTCATCAGTGATGCTGCCCAAATACGTAAAGATTGTTACATCTTCCAAATCTTCTCCGTCAATTGTGACTGGATTAGTGCATGCTGTGTTGTATCAGAGAATCAATATTTGGGGAACGTTAGCTGGATGTAGCTACGTCCCAGTGTCGATGTTCACATTGAAACACAAACCCAGTTTCATTCACTTCAAACGCTTTGTTTTCCGTTAAGCTGCCGATACCAAATTGTTATTGAGTTGTTCACTGAATGCGTTTATATAATTAGTTTTAAAAATGTGAGTCATCTTATAGTTAATATTGGGGGCTGGTTTTAATTGATCATTCTCATTAAATGTGAATATTATGTGGATTTTCTTGATATAGCATTTTATTCACTAGATATTTTACGTCCTGATGAGGAAGCCAACTTAGCGATTTAAAGGTACCGCACTCGTTGCTCTAAATCACTAGGTCGTAGTTTCGGTTATTTTCAAGTGCCGAATACTGGAGAGCTCCATTTTCGAACGAAAGAATTCTTCAAGGCTATTTGGATTTTAATAGTTGGCTAGTTAAAATCCGCCTGTCATGTAGACTGTCTTAGAATCCTGCTAAGAAATTTTCGAATTTCCAGTGAGAAGCTATGAGCAGTTGTACTAAACTTTGTCGGGTAACAGGAATATACTCACCAAAGACAATGGAAGATGATTGTTTACTTAAACCTGTTACCCCTCAATGAGCATCGGTCGCTGACCAACAACCCCCAACCTACACTATCGTGTGCGCTCATTGCAAGTTGTTCCCAAGTGCTTTTTATTCTTTTGATGTCTCTCTCCCATTCCTTATGCAATGTCTTATCGGGTTCTTCTCTTTTGTTTTTACCTTCGGGATTTCAAGTTAGCGCTTGATACAACTGGATGATTTCCGCAATGTATTTCCTGTACACCTCGAGCATCTCTTCCCGATTTCCTCTTCAGTTGAAAGTTGGTTTGTTGTTGCTGATGGTATCCGTTCAACTGACATTCAGTACCTTGCGTAGACAATTGTTTGAAACTATTTGTACATTTTGATGATGGTTGTAGTAGTTGGCCGACAGCTGTTTTGATTTCCGTATGTTCTTCAATTGTGAGAATGACGCTCCCGCTATATCAATCCTTACCTTTACGCCTGCATCATATCCTCCTTGTTCATCGATGATGCTGACTAGGTACATAAAAGTTCTCACCTCTTCTGAGTTTCTCCATCAAGTGTGATTAGGTCTGTACTCACTGTTGTATTTTAGGATCTTGGTTTTCCCTTATGAATTTTGGAACCTACTGCTACAGAGGTTGGTGCTACACTGACTGTCTTCATCTGCATTTGTTTCTGTGAATGAGAGGTGGCTGAGCAATACCGTCGACCTTTTGGACTTAAACTTGTACACCACTGGTCTCAGCTCAGGGGTTTATGTGCTAAACCTTCTGCATGCGTAATGTCTAGTCTTCACTGCCGAGAAGTCCCATAGTAGGACGAAACGGTCATTAAGCGCTTTCAGGTTTTCAATGGTTATCTAATGATCCGGGCTATCGGATTCCAGCTCAGATATGTGAATGTTTGGCACTCAACACGAGACTTGGAGTTCCTGCATTCAGTTTTTGAGGGGGGTCATGGATGCGCGCCGCTAGTGAGTCCTATGCTACAGAGAAATATGGACTCAATGGCATTTGGGTTTACATGGTTTCTTTAGATGATGTCAATTACAAAACAATAGCTCACATATTCAAAGTATATTTTTTACATGATTATAATGTCATTTATCATAAATAAAATGAGAAGTACTTTTCTCTGTATTAACCGAGTAATTGGGACTAAAATACAGTCAAGAGCTAGGTATGTGCACAGGTCTCGATTTTGTTTGACCCCTTATAAATAATAACAAGGCAACGTCTACATTCTACCCAGACGAAATTCAATATCACTCTTTTGCTGTCATTTTTGTTTATCAATATCTTTTATTGGTAACATCTAATTTCAAGTAAAGTGATAGAATGAAAGCTGTAAATTTATATAATCTTTATTAAATATTCTGCTCAATACATCTTATGGAAATCTGTTAACATCATAAAGCTCTCACCTAGTAAGTCATTTTCCAAGAAGTTATTATTTATGAAACTAATTATGAATATTATTTCATAATCAATCGTACCTTAGGTCGAACAACCTTATAAAAATCTCAATTTTTTTGTTCTGTGGTATAAAATAATACAAAACTCCTTAACAAATATTCACAACATCCAGTTATCCAACTGGTAATCCAGCAATCTTGTTTCTACCTAGCGAAATGAACACTAATAATAATGAGCCAGTTGGTCTACTATTCATTGTACATGATCTACTACATCTGAATATGACAAAAGTTCGAAAAGAAGATACAAAAATAAATCATAAACAAAAGTCTAATTCTTTTAAAGTGTTAAATAATAATACCAGTAAAATGAATAAATTGATCAATGTCGATGTACAATCAACTGTTGGCCAATTAATCGGTGTGTTCGATAGCAATATTCATGGGGTAGTTTATGACAAGGAAAACAATATACGGTAGTTATTGTTTAATTCAAATTAATATGATAAAGTTTAGTTACTGTCAATAATTACCTCATAAACATTAACTTATCTTATTACGGTTGCTCCTTTTGTAGTTTTTTGGATATTTCATTTAAATTCCAAATGCTGAAATTATTCAAATACAACTTCAAATTTCGAACTTTTCGTCTAAATTTTAGCCAATGTTCTTATAAATGACTCAAACGCTTTGAAAATTCATTCTTTGGTGCTTAAATATAACAATTTTATTCTTATACAGATACTGGCGAAACTATTTGTATTTGATGTCGAGAAATGAACATGGTTACGTTTTTCCGGTTGTAGTAACAGTAGATTGAATTCGCTTTTCAATATCATATAGTGTCATATTCCCCTAAAGTAATTTTAAACTTTCGACCACTTATGCATATATCTAAATGGTTTGACAACCTAGATGGAATGCAGTGTTAGGCCGAAATATCCCCATGAGGTGTATTTTGATCAACATTGGTCTAATAATGATATATCATTATGTGACAACAGAAAATTCTCACAAATTAAGTAGGACATTTTGAATACACGTAACGAACTGAACCATTAGGGAAACCAATTTCAGCAAAACAAGAGCTAATCTAACCATGCACTGGGTAGTACAAATAGGCAGATCAATTTTTAAAAAAAAACACTACACATGGGACAGAAACCAACCACAATCGATATTTCTCTGTAACTAAGACTGTCACCATATGAAAAAGTGTTTCTGAATCTATTAACGAAGAATACTACTTCACAAGACTGATCCCTAAAACGCAATGAATAACCAATGAAGATTTTGAATATCGAACTATTAAGACAATATATATCTCCACATAGTTCAATTGAGTTATTAGTCAGTTAATGAACAATAAAGTTCTTGAAACAACCAGTGAGTTTTTATAACCTTATTGTTCGACATAAGTTTCCCTATTAGCGAAAACCATTAAAAATTTTGATAGCAAGCAGTAACAAGTGAATGGATTGCAGAAAGAATTTTATTTAAGACATAATCTTAACTCACGCATCCAAATCAGAAGACAGTTATCCATTTAATATATTTGATGTTATTAGTTGTTCATTTAATATAGCATATAAATGAGATCTTTATCAACGGATAAGTATACAATTCAGACTATATAAAATTGGCAAACAGCTCAATTAACATGTAAATTCAGTACATTCAAATTCAAATCGGACCCCATTTGTTTTTTTGAAAAAAGCTGAAAGTTTGACACATTGACTTTGTTTATTACCGTTTGAAGCAACGCAGAGATTAGAAATTATTAGCCAGTTTGTTTGAACTCATTTACCAAATACAGTATCATGAAATCAGCTTTTATTTATTAGTGATACTGCCCAGCTGGCCAAAGTGAACTTACTACCTGCTTAGATGATATGTGAGTGTTTTAGCCACTAGTCAACTATTTGTATTTTCAAGTATATAGACCATGATAACTTATACATGTAGTGTTAAACCATGACAGTAACTAACACAAGGGAATTTATTTCTTTTAGATTACAGTATAATCATAATGAAGGTGTCTATTTCAAGCAACTTTTGGATAGATACACAAGGATATGGAAATGGTCTGGAGAAAAACATGTGCATGCACCACCTTTTCAACCAATGTCAATAAAATTAAATGATATTATAACATTGAAAATTTATCGATTTAATAAAATCCATCTACACTTCCAAACAATGAAGATTATTTGCAAATTAGATCTCACAAGTAAACAGTTGAAATTACAATGGATAAACACAGAACAGTATAAGGAACCAAAATAAATCTGAACATTTTGCCTGACCATAGCCTATGATGCATGATAACAAATTGGATGAATAAGAATAGTTGATATAGTGTATTGATTGTCATTTGTTCATAATTAACATGTTATTGTTTTTACAGAGTATGTGAATTACTTGTATTTTTAAATACAACCTACATTTTTGCGTGAATTCACCTTGTGAATGATGTGGAATAGTGTGTCATGATCCAAGTTATCACTACAACTCATTATCATTGGTTTGAAAAGAAACTGTCTGATTTTGAACCAGTAGATTTCTGGGAAAGCGAACGTCTGAAATCGTCTAGCATATTCCTCGCTTGCCAAATATTAAACTAACCACACACCAACAACTAAAGCATTTTATTATCAACAACGTACTACAGGAAATACAGACGGGCACAACATTGAATCTACAATTATTCGACCATATTTACCTTGGGAGCGTTTCCACAGTTAAGCGAACCATGTGTAGTATTATTGTAAACGCAAGTGAAGTTTAGAATGGAGTAGATCAGCGGACGACATTTCGAAACTTAAGTGATTGAAAAACGGAGATACTACTTCCAAATATGGTACGATCGATGGATTGGAAAAGGTTGAAAAAGCAATCAACCGACCTTGCCACAACATGGGGTTACATCAGATAAATCAATCCATTTGAGTATTGTCTACCGGTTAAGCTTTACAACGGCATAGCAGAGGGGCAGGAAAAACCATATCTTTTAAGTAGTACAGTACGTACATTGGCAAACATCTCCAGGTCACTAGTGTATACTATAGGAATTGAACTTGGCCCCAACACAATAATACTATCTTGAGTGTCCATTACAACAAAAACAGGATCTCTCTCTACATTATTGTAGATAATACGTTTTCGCATTGCCGGTACCGGAAGTACCACAGTGGATAGTCCTTCAAAACAGATGTTTGGATTTGCAAAGTGATTTGATACTACTAACTTTCCGTGAACTTGATTTAAAATTTATTTTGGCAAAAAAAACTGATGCAGCACGGTCACCGTGATGAGTTGCATTATGCAAAGTTTATGATGGATGTTGCGTTTTTAGTTAAACTCCTTGGAAAAAAACCCACTTGAAACTTGCTGATTGAGATACAAAGCTACTCTAAATTAACGTGTTCAAAGTGTGATATGTTGACTTGGGCTTATGCGAATTTGCTAGATCCTATGCTGTTTATTGATGAGTAATCGCTATTCTTGCTTTAGTGAGCCCTATTACATTAAAAAATGAACATTTAGGTAGTTTGGTGCTTAACAAAAAAGAACCAACGCTTGATGGGGACGGAAATAGTGACTGTGAAACTGCATTGGATACCGAAACTTCCAATGATTCAGGTGAAACCTCCTAAAAAATTATAAACGGTCTACAAGGAACCTAACAGCCAGTGACTAACAACGGATAAAGATAAGGCTTCAAAGGATTTTATTTTATTTTTATAGAGAATTTGAAGATCGTTGGCATTAACGGTCGAATAACAATAGGTGATTTTGTTTTGACAATGTCAACAGCTATTAGTCAGCTACAACGCGAGACAAGGCACACATACGTATCGGTCCAAGTTTCCATAACTCAATAGCACGACAAGATGACCAACACCAATTCATAGAAGCGGTTACTTCAAAACATTTCATACACGGATATGATGCAGAAAGAAAGAATCAGTTCATAGAAAGAAAAGTCAGTCAGTCAGTCAGCCACAACGTAGGACCAGGCACATATATGCATCGGTCCAAGTTGCCATACCTCAATAACACAACAAGATGGACACCGGATTCATATAAGTAGTTAATTCATAGGTGTTAATATATAAAAGAAAGATTGCAATAAGGATATAGTACAGGAAGAAAGAATTAGTTCGTAGAAAGAAAGATATGAAGTGATTTTAATCTCTTAGTTTAAGGGAAGACAGGGAGTGTATACACCGACGCCATTGTGATCGATTCTGAGCCATGTCACCAAGAGTCTCCAACCATTGGTTACGATAGTCACGCGGACCCCAACCAAGTAGTCTGCATCTACCAACATGGCTCAAACTAGAAGTTAGTGACTTCAGGCACTGATGCCACGTTTTGGTTTGGCCGCCCCTAACTTTCTTCCAACCATCCCCTACACCGGTTAGCATTGCACGTCGCGGTAATCGGGGTTCGGGCATACGTAACACGTGACCCAACCATCTCAGCCGATGAAGATTAACAAACTCGTCAACTGACTTACCATCATTACCTAATACCCTGCGTCTAACCTCACTATTACTTACCCGGTGATCCCAGCAATATTTCTAAGGCATCTGTGGTCAAATACTAGTAGCTTACGAGTGTCTTCTGCTCTTAAAGAAAAGTATAAAGTATTTATTCTCAGGGAAGACAAAGAGTATAAACAACTACTCCATTGTGATCGATTCCGAGCCGTCAGAGTACTCAACCATTGGTTATGATAGTCGTGCGGACCCCAGCCAAGTAGTCCACATCTAACAACATGACTAAAACTAGAAGTTAGTGACTTTAAGCAGCGATGCCAAGTTTTGGTTAGGCCACCCCTAACTTTCTTCCAACCATCCCCAAAACTAGTCAGCATTGCGCATCGTGGTAATCGGTGTTCAGGCATACGCAACACGTGGCCCAACCATCTCAGTCGATGTAGATTCATAACCTCATCAACCAATTTACCATCATTCCCTAATACCCTACGTCTAACCTAACTATTACTTACCCAGTGATCCCAGAAGATGAGAGCAATATTTTTAAGGCATCTGCTGTCGAATACTAGTAACTTACGAATATCTACTATTAATGGCCACTTTCCGCAACCGTAAAGTAGAAAAGAATGGACTGCCGCACAGTATACTCGTCCCTTAATTGATAGACGGATATCTCGCCTTTGCCATAGGTGACGTAAGTTAGCAAAAGCCAAACGAGCTTTTTGAATCCGCGTACAGATTTTGGCAGACAATAACCCATTAGGGTTGGTCAGGCTTCCAAGATAAGTGAAGTTGTGGATGCTTCCGACTACTTCACTGCCTGTCCTTAGTTCAGGTGTTGATGCAGGCCAGTCCTGAAGAAACCACTTGCATTTAGAGGAAGAAAAGCGCATTCCAAACATTCTGGCATTGTTGCTCAGTGCTACCAAAAGACTGAATTTTATCAGCGTCTTGAACAAACAGGACTATAACATCTGCGTATGCTAAGTTGATAAGTGGACTTCCTGGTAGGAGATCAATGCTCGAGAACTCAGTCGACAAGAGCGTTATTTCCATCAGTTAGTCTATGGTGAAAATGAACAAAAATGGAGATAGTGTACAACGTCGCCGGACGCCACGAGGTTGCAAAATTAGACGATAGTTCGCCATGAGCTCTAGCTCGACTGGTAGCGTTTGAGACAGCTAATAGTCTTCATGCATTAAGAATTCTGTAACATAGATTCACGAAAGCCGCTTTATAGTCCACATCGTTGTGATCTGATCGACTCGTTCCTTATACACCTACAGCTAGTATATAACTTTTGTCTAAAGAGCATTTTAACGAGTAAAGATTCATGTACATCCATAGTCTATTGTTGTCCTCTGGTCCTTCAAATGTTACGTGACAGGTTCAATAGTCAGAATACCGGATTTTATGACCCTGAGTTTGTGCTTAACTGATGACATGTCAACTAGCACTAGCAGCCTTGAGTCAACTTTGAATACTTTTTGGTCTTATAATAGTAGCTTATTGCCTAGTATGGCCCTTCCAGTCCGTAACACAAATATCAGCCTCCGCTACATGGATCCTATATTTCAGACATACGTGTTTTATACACAAGTCAGTCAGCCACAACGTAGGACCAGGCATATATATGCGCCGGTCCAAGTTGCCATACCTCATTAACACAACAAGATGGACACCGGATTCATAAAAGTAGTTAATTCAGAGGTGGTAATATATAAGAGAAAGATTGCACAAGTAGGCTAGACCACACCACAAAATGAAAAATAATTATTATACAAGATCAAGTCAAATGTGGGTGTCAGTGAAGGAGGCTGTAACTAAAAGATTGGGTATAAATTAAGAATAGTATATCGTGTAACAGTAAACATCAGGTGAAATGAAAAATCGTGACTAAAGGAATGCGAACGTGTATACATACTCGTTACTTAATAATTACCCAATAAGAACATACGTAATAACAGTTCATAAGATTTGCTAGCAGTTGCCATTCATTTTTTCTTCGTTTGGATACAATACTTATGAGGGCTAACGATACCGAGTCTGGTCGCATAGAGGTGAACCCTGCCTCGGACCTGCCACCTAACAAATGAAAGTACTACGCAATAAACCAGTCTTAAAAAGTAATCTGCTAATAAGTTAGTGTCATCAATATATCTTTTACCATCGTAGCAATCAACCGGAATTTTCTACTACTATACAGTGACTAGAAAAATCTACGAAAATTACCTGAAAACAATAAACTCATCCCAACCGAAGAAAACGTTTGACGACAATGCTTAAACGGTTTTAATGACTTGTAGACTAACACTATTTTATAAACCGTCAGTACACATAAATCGATGCAATAATAACATACAATTGTGTATCTAACTAGACCTCAACCTCTACCAAGCAGAAGTTCATCATTACTATGTGTCACTTACGAACATTTCATGGAAAACCCATCGGCTTGAAAATATAACTGAGCACTTTATTCAAATGTATAGCACTTGTTTCTAAGGATAACTTTACAATCCCTTGTTGTGAACGACCAGCAATACCTAGAACGGTATTCTGAATGGCAATATATGGTAAATGGATGTTCCATTAGTTATAATCCAACCCAGTTCCTTAATTAGAATACACAGTCTGAAAACGTAATAGCTCTATTTAATATGAAGAGATCTATTCCGCGAAACGACCTTAAAAACAACTCATGCTAATAAGATTAAGTTGATTACTATATAAGGACAAACATAAGTTGATGTCTTCACGAAATACCACAATTTTAAATCACACTAGATAAACGTTTGTAAAAGAAACGTGTCGGTTATTACACTTTGTCGAAATATATGGACATTTCTTATTGAAACACATAAACATTGATACAAAGAATCACTAAGTACAGACGCGCCTCACAAATCATTCGATTTGTGTGAGGGCTTGGCCCCAAAACCGAAACAGGTTGTTTCCTTAAAAAACCACTCTCCGAGCCTTTGACCTAAAGATTTAATCCACAAGGCAGTGGAGCAACTTAAGGAGACGCAGTCCCATGGTAACCGGTGACCAAGAATTGGTTTACACGTCATTTTTTCTCTCAGGATCCTGGAACCCATGTGCATCTTTGGTTTGGAATCAAGGTTTTCCAACTCCCCTCGGTGGGTCCCCCATATCCACCAACCGAGTTAAAGCGTCGGACATTCGTTTTTCGTCCTCTTAATTTCGTAGACAACACCCCCGCCGAGAAAATGCAGTGAGTAGAAATTTTGACAGTTGTTGTACATACATGGCTATGTAAGAGCATTTCGAGAGGGGAACGGACTGTCCCCGCCCTCGACCTTACCATGGCATTTGAAGGTTAATGGTGTCCGTCCTGAACAGGACACGAACCTGTAACCTCTGGAATAGAAGCCCGGTGCAAAAAAGTTAGAGCCAGGTTTTTAATTTTAGTCATCAATATTCAATACTATTATTACCTTTAACTGAGAACTGAAGACAAACCTTCCAACATAATAGCAAGTGTATAACCTTCATTACATAACATGAAATCAAACGACTGAGGTTCAAAATGCGCGAATTTTAATTTATTTCCCAATTAAGCACCGCAAGTGAACAAACTGAAGAATCAGAAGTAGTAACACCCAAAGATGTGATGACAAGGGCGGTGTTAGATGGAAAAATAAAACTCGAAAATTAGTGACCAGATAACCAACAATGAAGACTGAAAGTTACTCAGCTAAGAACAAGTATTAAATGTATAAGTGGGCTCAAATTTAGGTTACAGAAAATCAACAATGTCATCAGGCATCTCAAGAATTTCTGTGTTGAAATATTGCTGCAAGTCACTCAGAGCTTCTGTTTCAGAATCAGTGATGAAGTTGATGGCTGTACCTTTTCTTCCAAAACGACCTCCTCTCCCGATTCTGTATAAGTGGAAATTATATCATATAATAGGAACAGACCTGTGAATATACGTCTCACGATTACTAGGTAAGTCATAGTTAACGACTAGAGAGACTTGCTGTACATCAATACCACGCGCCAGAATATCAGTGGATAGCAAAATTCGTGATTTTCCACTACGGAATTCCTCCATAACTGCATCACGTTCTTCTTGATCCATATCACTATGCTAAAGAATAGAATATTTAGTAGGTTCAATATAGCAAATTACAATGCACGAAACTTGGAACTGTTTGAGCGTAAGCTCATTACAAATATTTATGGACTTGATTACAGAGTTAACGAAAATAACGACTTGACTTAAATTCATTACTCCATATAGGTCCATTAAGGTTTCTAATTTGTATTCTTCTCTGCACACATTGATATAAAACTGTTTGATCCCATCCAATGTTAATTCTTCTTTCTCAATCAGTATTTGAACAGGATCATGCATTATACTCCGTGCAATAGAAAGCATTGGTTTCGGCATAGTCGCAGACAGTAACATAATCTAGTGTTAAATGAAATCATACATAAGTGTAATTACTTGAGAATTGTCAGGTAAAATTTAAATATTTTTTTAATTTGGGGTTCAAAACCACGATCAAGCATTTGATCAGCTTCGTCCAACACGAAAACCTTGATATTAGCGGTTGTCAGAGTACGACGATTCATCATATCAAAAACACGACCAGGAGTACCCACGACAACATGCTGACCCTGTTGGAGGCACGCCATATCATGAGAGGTCCTTGTTCCCCCAATACACGTATGGCATTTGACTGTTAGATAGGAACCAATGTGTTGCACAACCTGAAAATTTTTATTATTGATACACTAATTACCGTTTGGATTTGTTTAGCAAGTTCCCTGGTTGGTACGAGGACAAGGGCTTGACAAGTGTTTGATGTAATATCTATCCTTTGTAAAATGCTGATGGCAAATGTTGCCGTTTTTCCTGTACCGGACTGAGCTTGAGCGATAACATCACGACCCTCGATAGATGGCTTAATAGCTCGCTGTTGAATGGCCGATGGCTTTTCATAACCATAACCATATATACCACGAAGAAGTTCTGGTTTTAACTCCAACTTCTCGAAGCCATCGACTATTTCAGTATAATTAGTCTCGATTTCAGAATCTTCTACAAAATTACTGGAACATTTGCCGAAATTAATATATTAGTGAAATATAAATACAGAAAAAAAACTGAGAAGGTAAATGTTGATAATGGTTTTTTCACTTAACACAATATAAACTATCGTATAACCTGTCTTCTCGTGGCGGGGTGTTGTTTACGAAAATGAGGACGAAAAGCGAATGTCCGGCGCTTTAACCAGATCCCAAGCCAAATCAATGGTGCATATGGTCTCCAGTATCCTGAGGGAACAAATGGCGTATGAACCAATTTCTTGGTCACCGGCTGCCATGGGACTGCATCTGCTTACGATGCTCCACTGCCTCGTGGATTAGACCTTCAGGTCAAAGGCTCGGGGAGTGGCCCCCTAAGAAAACCACCTGCTTTGGGTTGGGCACCCGGACAGTATCACAGCCATCACACACATCGAATGAGATTTGTGTGGCGCATATGTATTTGGTGCCTCGTACCAATATCTATGTGTTAAAATAAAATAAATAAAATAATAACCCGAAAAATTATATATTTCTCTAAACTCCCAGCGATCGACAATCTCTAACATGTAATTCGTTCTAGATTTTGCGTCAAATGCTTGTACGTCTCTTACTTACGTTGTTCTGAATACAAATAACTCTATTCACTGAAACAAATGAACTCATCAATGGCAAAGATAATGATCAATTAGTACAACACAGTTTAGGTATTCTGAGTGTTATTACAATAAAGTTCAGTGGACGTCTTGTGAGTGCATATTTAGTGGAAGTGTTCAAGGCCTCCAGACTTCACTCAACAAGATCAAGGTTTGAAACCTGCTCAACCTACTTCATCTGAGTAGACTGGTAGTATCACGAGCACTCAAACTAGTTGAAGCAAAGTACATGAATATATGTCTAGCAAATGGAAGTATGCTTAAGTCGATCCATCAACCTATTGAAGATTTAAAAGGCAAGTATTCTAAACTGTTTTCTAGTTTCAATTTAAAAGCCTCTAAAAACAAATAATTACCAAACGATTGAGGGTAATTACACACATGAATTAGATTTCACGGTAAATGTCTAGTCAGAAAACTGGCTTATAGAGAATGACGGGAATATATCGAGAATAAGAAAACAAGTTTTAAAAAAACTTATCTAAAGGAATGAATGAACTTGTTAAAAAGCGGTGAAGTGTAAAAATGTACGTGTATAAGCACGACAGTTGTTTGATGAGATAACAAGGTTAATACTCGCGACTCGAATCTAACGAAGAATTTGAGTAGTAGGACGTTTGGATTAACGCGACTAAGAAATCTCGTACATGTTCGCGTACTTTGAGTTACGCCAAACTTTAAGAGTCACGTGTATTTCCTGGTCACCAAAACTGATGCATGTGGAGTTGGGAAACTTACAGTTAAGTGGTTGAAATATGGAATAAATTTGTAAACTTTCACATGATATACAGTGATAGCTAACTATACTACCTGGCTGCGCAAACCGTAGTACTTGGAGCGGAAATAGTAAGGGCCGACTTTATTTAGTGCGAAACGCAGTCTCGAAAATGTTGGGATTATTTATCGCCAGTACCTGGACGTCATACCTAGAAACGCTAAATAGATAAATTATAGGGAACTACATACTCGTTACGAATCCTTCACACCTTTTACAACTTCAAAGTTCAGTTTTAGTTTATTCGAGTTTATATGATTGTTGGGTTCGCGTCACTCCAAACATACAATTGATAGTGAAACCCGTGGTTACGTCATACACTATCATTACACAAGGAAACAATCAACAGAAACCTCATCACAGTAATATGTGATATAACTAAAGCGTACTCTGTTGACATGATATAACACAAGCAAAAGATATGTGACTTAAGATAGCAGTAGACGTTTGAATCGGTTTTCAGTTCACAATAGTGATGGATCGTCTCGCTCTCATTTAATCTTGGAGTACAGATAATTCATGCTGAGAAAACCCAAAACGAGATTGCAAGGTATGCCATACTCAGGTCATTAATTCAAATTAGGTCTCAAGAGCTGATAATGTGTATTTTTGTTGATAATGCACTTCCTAAATGAATCTAGTAATCCAATTTTTTCTTACATCCTACTTGGGAATTTAAACGACTGTTGTGATACGAAAATTCTTAACCAAGTTGAAAAATTAATTAGTACACCAGCTAAAAGCCAATGTTTTACTAAGAAAATAACATGTAGATAACGGACCTCATAACAAACAACTGAGCGTGACAGAAGACCAGAGCGCGCTTTTTTTTATGTGAAGACTTTCGAAATACTATTTAACTAAACACAGTACAAAAATATTGGTCTAAGACACATCAGATATTATGCTATCCTTTGATGAAACTATATCAATTTCATTATTTAACCGCAATAAAGTGCATTGAAATTGTTACCAAGATAACAAATGAACACAATTATCAGCATCTGTATGTTTATCTGTCAAAAATACACATTCAGTTAGATCATTTTCTCAGTCTACTGTGACGAAGAAAATAGATTTATACGTTGATGTATATCATGAGGCAGTGCGAAAACTGACACAAAAGTCCTCTTTCGGATATTTTATAAAGAATAATATAAACACATGTATATGAGCATATTGAAAATATTTTGATTTGACTTTTCGACAAAATCTGTTCAGAATCACGTTTAAATGAGTTATTTTTTATTGTTTCACGCAATAAGAATTGGCAATGCAACCAAGTGGTGGCATATGAGGGGAGAGTAGATAATAATGTCTAACATGTATAACATATGATTGTCATCCAAGTGCTCTGAGAACCTCTCAGACCTTCCGATGTGAAACGTTGTAGGCTGGTTGTCAGACACCGTTGATGTTTCGGGGAGGTCAGTAACTCCCAGGGACTGCATTGTAGTCGTAGTATTTTTGTATCTCTCAAAAGTTTTGGTGGTACCGCCGTCAAAGAACTTTCCCCCTAAGTAACTAGACTCTAGCCGATTGGTGCTGATTTCATCTTAAGTTCCAATCCTATCACTGATATAGTACATAGGTTTTTACTCTAAAGAACTGTCAGGATACTTCGTGCGCACAAAGTAGTAAGGCGGGTTGGACGAAAAAAACAGTTAACGACATTCGAGTAGAAGTGGTTTACTTGGATGAATCGCGTTTGTATGCAGGAGAATAGATCTACGTTCATGAAAGAAAATTGAGGTATCCACGAATTCCACAAATTTCGTGCCATAAACGAGTTTAGCTGCACTGCATACAACGACAACTACTGTTGGATTACGAATTCCGAATAACACGAGTGGATGCATGTCAGTGCATTTTGATAGATTTGCATCCGAGTGTAAAGCTTTCAACAGTCGCTGAAAGTTTTCTACCAACCCGTTGGCCTGTGTGTGGTATGTGATTGTTCGTAGTCATGTAATTCATGTTTATTCATATCAGACCAGCAAAATTGTTCCCTTATGAGATTGATAGTAGAACAATTAACTTGACCAGGAAGTGTACACATTGTATTGAAAACACTGCGTCGAAAATGTTTCGGCATGAATACACGATCGCCACCTGTAGATGCACTACAGTTTTCTTACCTATTCCCATCTGTTTGATTCTCAATCTAGGGGTTGCCGTTGACAACTCATGCCGAAGATCTTTGCGGACTTAGGAGTCTCTCAACTCTGGAAACCCTTCGGGGAATTTATTCGAGGCAAAGCGTCCGCAGCCAAATTGTTTGTCCAATAAATGCATTGTATATCTGAAGTAAACTGAGGAATTTAGTCGACTTGTCGAGGCTCTCGAGCGGCGTAATTATCTGAAGATGAGCTTGGGGAGAAGGTAAGAGGTTCGTGGTGGGCAAAGAGAGTGAATTCTCGGCCTTCTACAGAGTGTTGGGAGTACCGTACAGCACAATACGTGTCTTAGAGTTCCTTACCGAAAGTACTGTACCTCGAATAACTGTCCTTCAACCGTCCCGAGAAGAATGCCGGAGGTTGTCAGGTGTTGTTTACCCTCGTTGTAAGACTCCGGTTTCAGAATCGGGTACGTCTACTGCGATACTAATGGATGCTTCAGTATACTCGTGTGTGTTGGCATAACTGCCTTTGCGATAATTTTATTATATGTGAAGAGTGCTTTTATCACGTTGTCGTCCCAACAGATGAATTCTGCATTTCCACGAGGTTGGTCGGTTAAGGATTTCATGATAGGCGCGCAACTCGGTATAAACCGTTGGTAAAAACTTGCCAGCTCCTTGCACATGCGTAATTACTTGACAGAAGTCGGTTTCGGGTATTCCGGAATGTCCGCTACTTTGTATTTCATAAGGCGGATGCCCTGGACACTAGTAGTATATTCGAGAAAATCTAGGGAGTCGGTTGCGCCTCAACATTCCTGAACGCTGATGGTAATGCAATTTATGAGGTCGTTGGGAAATAAGGTCCGGATGCTGGAGGTAGGATTCTCTGTCTGGATTCAGGACCAAGCATCCACAAACATAAGTGTAAACGATATTTCAGATCTCTGAAAACATCAATGATGAATTTCTGGAAAGTTATTGGTGGCTCATTATATGACTCTAGTTATATCGTATGATGACTTCTATCCAAACACACAAGACGGCTACCCTCGAAGATAATATTCGACCTTAATCACGTCAGTGAATAACGGAATAAAACCACGGCAAATACGAAAACGGATTCCGAATACGTATATATCATACAGTCGTTGATCCAGATGAACTATCAAAGAACTGAAACGGAGAAAGAGAAGAGGAGAGGGGGAAGTGAAAAAAATATAATTCGGTGGAGAAGGTATGTCAGCCAACTCTACTTAACCAAGAAAGAACAGATATTTTTAGTCAAACGAAAATAAGTTACAGACATGTTATGAATAGACTAAACAACATACGCACATATGATCATATAAAAATAGTCAGGATTATTGAGCGAAGTGGTAACAAAGTCAAAATGTAGCTTGAGAAGAATGAATAAATAGGTGTTCAGAAGCTAGAATAGCCTATGTGCGCTTGACATAAGGCCATTCACTACAAGTTTGTGCAGTACTTTTCAAACAGAAACTGATATGCAAATATTCATAGGATCTTCAGGGAGTGATGAATTTTATTATATGAATGTTGTCAGCAGCCACAGGAAATCGGTCATACACTTCAACCAAGTCGGTTTTCGAAGGACGTTAGTACTTTTCAAGGTCTCCCTCAGATCGTAGATACGGTAACAGAAAGCAAGCGGGACTGCTCTTCCTACTGAATTATCGATAGTTTCCTGTCAGATGTCAGTCATTGTTGTCTTTTCTAGGAGCATGTGAAATGTAGGTGCCCATGGGCTGTTTGATGTCCAGAATATTCCCAAGTCTGTCACATGTGCAAATTCATTTTTGGCCAAACTTAGCTTTTCACAAACCAGTCTCGGAAATACGGGTTGGCCTTAGTCTTTAGACGGTGTGTAGCACTGTTATTATTATTATTATTAATGGCTTAATTCAACATTATACTTTGGTACAATATGTAATTATCAGCACAGGCTACTTCAACAAGTTACTCACGCAACAACAACAAAAACACAGTAACAAATACAAAAAAAATAAATAAGGTTTTTAAAAAAAACGAAAAACTGTACAACTTTTCAAGTTAGAGACATGTTAAGAATGCAGGTTATTGACTAGGTTAATTCTAACAACCTGTTCGTCACAGAGTATATTTGCTAGGTAAGGTATTATAGAACTTTTATACTTTTGCTTGCGTGCATGGATTTTAATGTAATTACGTCTCGTTCTACCAGAAGATATACAAGGAGAAAGATAAGAGTGAAGGGGATGGCTAGTATCTGATAAAATAACACCTGCCAGGAGTTTGCATGATTTTAAATGTCTATCCACAACCATATTAATTATGACCTCGAAAGATTCACCACACATCTTGCTAACTGCCTTCAGCACTCTCCGCAATACAGCAAAGTCTTTTCTCAAAAGCCCGGGAAAGAATAATGGAGAACAGTAAAGAATAATAGGTAATATGCAAGAATTGACAAATTGTAAGAGTAAATGACGAGTAATTCCAAGAGCATGCAATCTCTTTATGTAGTAGGTCAGACGGAAAACCTTCTTCGATAACGATAAAACGTGGGAAGACCAAGACAGATCAGAGGAAAAGGTGACACCAAGATAATTGACCTTCGACACTGAGTTTATCAAAGAGTCTCCGATGGTACAAGCACTATGGGATCTCAAAATAGTGTTTATATTCCGTTCATGTCTCATGCTAAAGTTAACAGCTTGACATTTAGACGGATTAAGTATGAGACCATTACCAACAGACCAACAATCAATACGAGACAAAAACTCATTCATTTCTATGGGATGTAAAGAGGAAGAGATAGGCATACATACAGTGAGATCATCCGCATACTTCACAAAAGTGTTTTCTGTGGAAGATGGCAGATCATGCAGAAAAAAAGAGAATAGAAGAGGTGAAAGAACAGCTCCTTGTGGTACACCTTCGTGAGACAGTAGAGACTCTGAACACTTTCCTCCAAACACAGTGTACTGTTCCCTTCCAGAGAGGTAGGAACATAGCCAGTTGGTTATCCAGCTGTCAGTGTTGACGCTGATTAACTTGTTAAGTAAACGTTGTCTTGGTATAGAGTCAAAAGCTGAAGTATAGTCCAGAAAAGCACATCGAACATACTTCTTACCCTTTTCTAAGTTGAACACTATGTTGTGATGCAGAACTGCAACAGCATCTAAAGTGCTTCTTTTGCGTCTGTAAACAAACTGATACGGGTCAGTATGCTCTTTTATCGCAGGCTGAAGTGGAAGTATTAATAATTTTTCCATGGT